CCGCACAGAAAGCGTCTCAAGAGAAATCGGGCGCGAGAGATTTTCGCGCAGAGACGATTGCTCCTCCGAGTCCATCGACCGAGTTCGAGCGCTAAATCTTCAGAAACGTCCACCGGATCTTTCCGCCGATCGTTCGTCCTCGTCCGGATGATGAATCCGTGCTCACGCAGTGACCTTGTGGGGAATCCCTGTGTCGTGTCCCAGGTGCGTGCACTGCGCATCCAGATCGACCCGGTCTTCTTTGCACGCAAGAGACACGTGAGCGACTCACGCCAAGACGTGAGGGTGTGAACTGTCTATCCAGAAAGCAGCCGACGACTCCCGTTTACTTCCTCGCGGATCCGGGAATCGAGAGAGCATATGTATATACATATGACGGCTCGGAATAATGTTCCTATTCATGTGAGCCGACGCAATGGGTGAATAGTTCTTCTGAGCATCGGAAGAAGTATCGATCGGAAATTTCATTTATTACTATGTAGAATCAGTTGCTCATCTGTAGCGTTTGGCTGAACAAAATTCATTTTATAATGGGTTACCAGAGCCACTGAGTGTCGCAAGGTTGAACGCTTCGGGTCGAGCCTGCTCCTCCGAAAGAAGCGGCTTCACAATTGGTCAAGGTCGAGAATTGTCTCAATTTTCGCCGCGCAGGCGATTCTCGTGCTTTGTGGACAGAAGCCCATACAGGGAGATCTGGGAAACCAACGGGAAGAGGGCAGTCGGCGCACAGCAACGATGTGAATTGAGATATGCAAAACATTTCGATCGACAGAGTGAGACAGCGTATCCACACAGACATCAGTAGAGACCACAATCCATTGAATCCATTTCCAACCTGTCGTTACGTGATGGGATTCAAGCTGCACGCGAACGGTATTCGCTGGAGCGTCTCTGATACATGTCATGACTTCTCCAGGGTTCCTCTTCCGGTAACTGACGTCTTCTGGATTATAGAGTCATCATGAGGAACTCACAGCGAAATCCCAATCGAGCTCCTCCAATCCTAGAACACGCACTTGTCACCCGATATATCAGCCATTAACGGATCGAGCCCCGATTAGATAGAAGCTAATAGTCTTCATAGACCTCATATCGGAGCGATAGCGGTCAGAAAACCGTACTGGATCATAAAGGAACTGCTTGACGACACCATAAATATCGGAGGAGGCAGGGGGAGGCATGCGGAGAGGGAGACGCTCATAAACTACTCGATGCGAGAAATGACTACTCGCTGACCTCTGGCCTCACATGTTTGAGGTTCTGTCATAAAACCGCTCAGGCATCTGAGTCTCAAGTCTGCTTCAACCCCAAATTGAATTGCTTTATTTTCGTGACCACGGAGACCAAAATCAGGACGTTGAAGTCATCCGCGTAATCCGTGCGAGCAAGTCCTGGAAACGCAAAAGAAACTCAAAAGCTTTTCCGCAGTCCCTCCTGACGCTTATTGGAAGGGACGTTCAAAAATGTGGTAGAATCTCGTCACACTGGAATCCGAATGACCGGCAGAAGGAAGTCGACTGCCTTGATTAGGGCCATGAATTTCGCGGCTCGCAAAGTCTCGCAGACGACCCTCTCTCCGAGGTTGAGCGAATAAGGTGAACGTGATCCACCTCGAAACGATTCGGCACGACAAGTCTTTCCGACAGACCAGCCTGGACGAGGTCTTCGGTTCGGAGCTTGCCATAAAATCGAGGAATTCTCTACTCGAGGATATTCATTGCATCCCGGGACAGACTCCTGTGTTAGTATGTTCTCTAGTCAATCGTGACGAACTCATTGCTGCTGCTCGGTAAATACACCCTCCCAAATCAAGATAGCAACAGTTATTCTCAAATTGGTACTTGTCCTCGAAGGGTCGAGAGCAGATTGTGCTGGCTGTCGATCGCTTGTTGAGCTGCTTGTCCACCAACCGACAGGGAAACCACATGCCAGCATACATGCAATTAAATATGCGGGGTTGACAACTCAATGAATGCTGGTGGGAGGAAGCGATCGAGGTATCGAGAAGGGTTGAGAGGGTAAAACTCATTGAGCACCTGCGTCCTTTTTTCCTCCACCGCAACTCCTGAGCTTGTGTGGAGATAACTCGACTAAGTGTACATGGAGCCACGAAACCTTCCAAATAGGACAGCCATTGCGTGAATTCGATCGATGCGGATGGCTGTCAAGGGGGGTTCGCCGAGAGAAAGATGGCGGGAGATGGGCAAGCGTCTGGATGCTTTGATTTCGGTTTTTCTCTCGCAAAATCCGATAATATATATCATGTGACGCTTCTTACTCGATGATGCCTTCTTGATCCGAGTCGGAGTTTCATAGAAGCTGCCTCTTTCCGATTTTTTACGCAGGCGCTCATTCCGAACCGACCTAGGGGGCAGACATGGCGTGGGGGCTGCTCGGACGGTGTGGGAATCTTTGGGAAGAGTCTCCGAGAGTCTCGAGACTGGGGTGGGGAACGCGGAGGAGCGTATTGCATTTCCTCGAGAGAAACAAATTGCAGTAAGCATCGGACGGGGTGCACAAAACCGCCGTCGGTCGGGCAAACCCCGATTTTTTATTGTACGCGAGAGGACTCGAGGTAACGACCCGAGTACAAACAGTTCAAAGACCGCCCCGACCTGATTGGTGTAGGCAGGACGGAATGCAGCCGCATAATTATATCCGAGTTTTTGTCCCGATTATTTCAATGCTCCGATTCGAGAACCGATTGTTTATGAGTTTTTTTCCGATAGCCCACCGTTCTCGTGTTCTATGCTCCGACACTAGGACGAGCTATCGATAGATCGTACGAGGCAAATGTAAGGCGACCTCGTTCCTATGCCGAGGAGAGAACCTTTTGATCCTCAATCCTTTTGATAGTAACAGAAGCGTATGGGAAGCGAACACGACAAGCTCCCAGAAGCGAAGAATCGACGCCAGCAGACAGGGCCGAACTCGACCAGAATATTCGGAATCAAATATCGAGTTTGGAATATCGAAGCCGCCGCTACAGTCGAACCATTGATCGTTCATTTTCCTGTTTTTTTTCTGTTCAAAGCGTGAAGTCGGAGCGTGAAGTGGCGGGGCTTTGTGAGGGTGGCCAAGCAGAACGCATTACCACAACGCCCTTCATCTCCCACAGCGGCTGTCGCACCAGCAGCGGCGGACTCTGATATTTTGAGCCGTGACTGCCCATATAATCATCATCAACGTCCTCGCTATCATCTAGATCGTGTCCACCATGATACAAGTGGACCTGCAGGTGCTTGGCAGGTGCCGAGGAGGGTCATCGACATTTAACGGAGAGTCGAGAGCCAGAATCTCTCCATGATCCATGCTGAGGGCAATTCCTCGACGATCGAATATATTTCGTTCTTCTGATTCCTCTCCTACATCGCTATTCCTCGATTGGCATCAGGGAAAGACCGATCCCAAGGCGGTGTAGATGGATGAGAAATCCAAGTTGAGAGGGCTTGAGGCTCGAATGGGGAGTGCGAAGCCGGAGTTCAGATTTAGATTCGGGGCCTCGAAGTCTCCCTGGGGTGAACTTGGTTGTGTCAGTTGCTGTAGGCCGTCAGGTAGAATGGTCGGTTTCTTGGTCCGCTGGTTGGTCCATCCGTCAGTTGCTTGGTTGGTTGGTTGGATGGTTGGTTGGTCGGTCGGTGATAGCGTGAGCCCCTTCATCACATCGACGAGAGAACTTCGATAAAATTAGACTCAACAAGGCGCGCTCAAGCGGCCTGCCGACCGACCGACCGCCCGCCTGCCTGCCTGCCCGTCCACAGCTAGCACAGGCTTGAGGGCCGCCATAACAGCTCGGAGCGACGCGAACATCACCCGACTCCTCAGAAGTTCGTTGACAAGCACGATTTATTAAAAATTCCCAAGACTGTTACAAATCGATCTCTCACGAAGCATCCCCCCCGTTCCACACGTTGACTCAGTCGGTCGAGCCATCACTTGGGAAGTCCGTACGCGGCTTTCACGGAACGAGCGGTTCTGCGGAGCTCCAACTCGACTCTTGAAAACACCCTCCGATCCAGACGATGAGTTCCCTCCTCATTCCCAAATGAGAGGAATCTGAGCCCGTTTTTCTGTCCCCTGCGAGGATCTGTGCGCTGGGACCTCGTGCCACCGGTTCTCGCTCTCATCATCTTTGGAATTACAGGAGAGAGATCATCCCTCGCATTGGGTATAACGTTCCACGACCAAGATATTTGAACGGAGAAGTCTGCCCATATGACCACGTTCATTCCTTCCTCGCGAGAGGAGATTGGGCTCGTTGCCGAGGAGACGTATGGGCCAGTCGAAAGAGGGAAAGTGAACCCGATAGCGTCATCGTTCGGGGACTAAAGTGCTGAGTCGAAATAGACTTGGAGAAGAAGTCAGATGAACAAGACCGTCGTCTAGCAGTGTCTCTACTCGAGGTGGACTCCGAGAGGAATAAGGAGAGCCCTGAGGAGGGACGGGGGTTGTGGCTTGAGGTGGAGGGTATTGCGTGAGCTAGCGGCATCTTTCAGCCAAAGTCCCCTATCCGCTGCCGCCGTCGCTGCTGCTGCCGCCATGTGAAGGAACCAAAGGGGACCTAAAGTAGAAGGGGAGACAATGGCAGAGCGGGGGCAGTATTGTTGTAATACCTTTTGTAAAGAGATCCCATCTCGCAGTCAGCACAATGCCCGCCCGCTGCCTGCTCACCTGAAAGTCCGCACCGTGGTCTCGGGAGCGCATGTCCTCCGACTTCGAAGACAAGATATTCTTGGAAACACGCTCCGCTCCTTATTCAGTCTGGCTATTTTTCAGCGGGAATCCAGAGCGAAATCACATTCCTGAAAATAAATAAAAAGAAGCACAATCTTTATCGAGCTCAGCACTGATCAACGATTCGAATTTCCTCTCGAGCCGGCTGAGATTTTTTCGGACCCAACCATACCTCCAGAATTCCGGAATGTCGGGGGAAGAAGAGGATCGTCGTTTTCGCGGCAGAGCAACAAGTGAATTAAAGAATTATTCTCTCCTCTTTGCAGTGCCCGAGTGACTCCGAACGCGGGGGCAAGTTCCGTGAAGGATCTCCATCTCGGTCTCAACGGCGTATCGATAGCGCAAGGTGGTCTCGGAAACGTCGGCGGATCTCTAGGCACAACATTGAACTCACTGAGTTCGAACCAAGCTCCACCACAGCAGACGAAGTCGAATCCATCGAAACGACATCGGGAAAGACTGAACGCCGAATTGGACACGCTCGCCTCGCTTCTACCTTTCGATCAAAGTGTGTTGTCCAAGCTCGACAAATTGTCTATTCTTCGGTTGTCCGTATCCTATCTCCGAACCAAAAGCTACTTTCAAGGTGAGTCCGTAGTCATCGCCGAGATATTTTTCCAATCTGTGCCGAAGACCATTGTTCTAGAGTGAGAGCAGTACACCCACGCGAACTACGAGCATGAGCCTTAGCCGTCCCCGGCTCGGCCGTAACCGTGGAGGGAGCGGGCCTATACGGCTATCATAATAAAACGAAATAATGATATTAGTATTATTTCCACTCTGCGACTCGAAGTCAACCTTCCGCCCAAGGTCGCTTGGCAGAGAATGTGTTTATGGCCACAAATTTATTGTGTTTGCAGAAGATTCCTTCCAGTCTCTTCAGCTTGTGTTCTCTCCTGACGTAAATCCGTTTCTTATGGCCATCGTTTGTTCTTCCATAAATTGAGCTCAATTTCAAATCCCCGAATCCGAATCGACTTTGTTGGGTTCATCCGTTTTCGTTTTATCAGCCGGAGCAACGATTCCTCCGAGAGGTATAACCCCCTGGCATCTGGCGTCCCGTTGGAGTCGAAAACCGTGCCGCGAATCCGTGTCGATCGTTGATTAGTCATTTTGCTCGTTTGATCTTCTCGGTGGAATGGAAAACCCGAAAGGAACCTGGATGGTTCATTACGTAATCGAGAACGGAGCGGGAATGGGTGCGCGGACTCTTTTTTCCGTCCCCATGCGGCGGTATCGGCGCCATGATATCTTTCCTTGCCCATGGAGATAGCGTTGCGATGTGAAAACAACGAGTTTTTACGGTGGATATCTGGGAGTGCCATCGTTGCGTCGGACGCCGTCTCCGTCATCATCATAGGCGGAGGCTCACCGTCGTAAAGTTCCTCATAAAATCGAAACGTTCAGCTGGAAAGCGAGCACAAAACCAGCGCAACGAAGGTAGAAGGAGTTGCCGCGTTTGCCACCCTTCGTTACCCTGTGTCGGAGTTAATGAACTTGAATTTAGCCAGCGGCAAATGATGTGTTTATGACCACCTCGAAGCCGCGGTTAACGAGAGCAATTATGTCCGACGGAGCGGAGAGAAAGCGAGACGCCAAATATAAAAATATATAAGAAACGAATAGAGCCGAGCATCGGTATGGAGGAACATCCACCGGAGAGAGAACGGAAGAGCACCGAAGAAGATATAGATGCCAGCCTGCAATCGATAGATGCTTCATTGAGAAATCCTTCCCCGCAATACCAGGATCGAACGAAAAAACCGAACCGGTTTATTCTCGAGAGTCCGCATATCGATGCGGAGCTTTGCACGACGAACAAAAACGACGATGGTCCGCTCGCGGGCAGCCTGCTGTCGTGTTCTCTCTGACCACCGTCACGACGGACGGCGATGGCCAGCGGTAGCGACAGAGATGGCAGCCGCGGGAGGGTGGTACGGGGCCGCGTCAGATATGGATAAAAATATCTCGAAGGAGGTTCCTAGATCCTCCCACAACCGCCCCACAAATGGTTCTCCCGAAGGAAGAGAGTTGTTACAAGAGGAAAGGTGCTCTCGTTGCAGCTGCAGCCGCTGCTGCCAAAAGCGCGCGTGTACAGTACCGCGATTGCCTTGCAGACTATCTGTGCTTGGAGCGAAGAGTCTCGTAGGGCTCTCGAGCCCGAATACGACGCCGCTCAGGTAGTTCCCCGGAAAATATTCAGGAAAACTCGGAGAAAAATAGGGAAATCTCTGCCGGTCCCGTGATGTCGAATAGTTTTTTTTCTCGTAGGCCCGGAACGCGCGACGAGTCCCATACCGCGATGTCGACTCGAGTAAATCCTACCGGTTCTGCCAGAGCTCGGAGTTGTAACCTCAAAAGGGGCCCTCCGATTTTCGAACCCCTAATTACAGCTTTGGACACCTTTGCTTCAGTCGGCGGCTGTGCTGGAGAGATCGGCTGCTCACTCGATCCGTCCGAACTGGATAGCTTCACTCGAAACGAAGCTTCGAATCGAGCTGCATCGAACGATTTCCATTGAGATGTGCACGACTACGAGCATCGTTGATGCCCTGATTATAGACTTCGTCGGTGCGCTGGCTAAACATTCTCCTTTCGAATGGGCACCGATGGTCCTGCCCTGACCGAGTATGGCTCCATACCGCGTCCTTGTTCGAGACATTCATTCCGCCTGTATTCCCAGTGCCCACCGAAAAACCGACAGGCTTGTCCAACGTAACACTGGTTAGCGCGATGGGTGCCTCGAGCAGCTGTCAAAAATCGAGAAGGACCGAACGGCAGCCTGGCCGACCAGCAACTGTCGCATCGGCTATCCATCGTTCGATTCGCTCACTTGTCTTGTGTTGCATTTACGAAAAAAATTGATTTGGCTCTTGTGGTGCATTTTTTTTTCTCCGGCGAATTCAAAGCCGAAGCTACGGAAAAATTACCTCCAATCAATCGATCTACAGCGACGCTGATCTCAATAGACGCAGTCTCGGAACGACGAACAAAAAAGAGGTTCTTTTCAAGCCTTCGTTCCCTCCGTCCGCTACTGTTAGCACTGCGCAGAACGATTCGAAGCGCGTGCATTTTTTTCGAGGGCTTTTCTCTGAATTTTGATTGAAAACTCGTTGCAAAATGATTGAAAAGCCCGGACGACCAGACCAGTCGGAGACGGAGCGCGAATTCAAGTCGCATCGCCGTGTTCGAAGGGAAGGATGGAAATCCCCATTCCTGAACGTTGTGTACTGCAGACCGCGAAGCTGTAGTGGCACGCGGCGCGGAAACGCAGAATGTCCGACTGAGTGAAAGAGCACCGCCGTGAAGCAGTCAATCGCATCTATCCTCGATCGTATCCGACGGGTCCGGGCACTCGATTGGTTTCTAGATCAGCGCAACCTCATTCCTCAGCATCTGATACCTGAAGGATTCTTTCGATCGTGCTCCTATCGATGGGTTTTCGCATTCGGCCTGCTAACAAGCGTCCCGATTCAGGAGGCTGACCCGATCGGTGAACTTTCGTGCATTCGTTGATTCCAAGCGCTTCCGAGCGGTCGGTCCTTCTCTCAGATTTTCTTCACAGAAGCAATCCGACTGTATCGAAGCGTAGCGCGGAGTGGACTCGCTTCTTAAACTCGTCGAGCGACGTCAAGTGATCGCAGCGAACTCCGAATCAAGAAGCGAACGAGGGCTGACCACGACGCTTCGTTCTGCGGCCCTTGTCCATGATGAATCGAAGTTTAATCCGAGACGCGAGAGCAATACGACCGATTCCCAGGTGCTCATCATCATCGATGCGTCGAGACACCGATGCTGGCGGATGCGGTGATCTTTGACATCACGACCTTGTCCGTTCAGAGGCAAATACTCAATGTGGGCTCAATCACCTGTGGGCAGTCGGAGGAATGGACATACCGACCGACCCAACAGATAGATATACCATGATGGTTGAGGCTTCACAAATGAGTTTTCACATTTGAGCCAGCGGCTCCAGTCAATCGTCGTGAGATCATGTTACCTCTATGTTTCGGACTCATTCGACTCGGCGATTCCTCCAGGGCGGCTTCGATCATGAGCAAAAGCCGATCAGCCATTGAGTTTTCGCGAATCGAACCGAAAGAATCATACACGAGGCATTCGCACGTTTTCGTCTTTCAACCTTTTCGTCCATCAGGACCTGAGCCTTGGGCAGATCCCAGCTAATCTATGAGCTTGCTGGAAGAGTTTACGACTCGCGGCTCACCACAGGCTTCGAGAGTATTCCGCTGTCTCTTTCAACCCCTTCCCCCTCCCCCTCCCCCCCTCTACCGGAATCTTCATGGAACACATCACATGGACCGCGCGTCCCGCAGTTTCCGTCCCGGGCATCCGGTACAAGACATGGTAGCTGAGGAACTTGTGGATCGCAAGATTTCACATTGTCCAGCATCGATTCCCCTCGCGGGGAAATACCGGACTGGAGGGGAAAACACATATGGAGCACTGTTATCAAGGCTCATGTGCGCCGCGGTTGCTCACCGAATCGGTCGACGAAGACAGATGATAATTTCGAGTAAACAAAAGTTGCCGGAGGGGTGTGTCGATCGCTGTATGATGGAAAACTCTAACAACGAAAGTTCCAACTCAGATCATTGATGGTTTAACGGAGTCTGATGACCTTAGACGTTTCCCGGACGTCGTTAAGCTCCTCTGAGGATTTCGAGGAGCACCAGGAGAACAAGAGCAAGATGGAGGCGGCTCATGTGGATGATGGGCTGCTTGGTTGCTTGCTCGCTCGGCGGGTTCGTGGATTCCTCGGCCATCCAGATTGGATCTGTCGAGAGTCTTTTGTAGAGCAGCTGGTGAGCGAGCGAGCGCGCGGCCGGATCAAGATTGCTCGATTAGACGCTCTGTTAACTCACTCATTCGATGATGTCGACGACCAGCACTACAACAACGGAGGAGAAGGCGAATCGACGAGGAGATTCACTCTCCTATAAAGAAGATTCATGATCTCGGCAGCGGGTGAGCCAGACGAGCAACGAAGGATTCTAAAACACAACGTTTAGGCGTTGAATGAATCGGAGGAAACGATCAGGAATGCGATCATAGATCGGAACTGGGGTGAAAAACCCCAGAGAAAGCAGAAAGGACTCTCTCGCTTCCCGGTTGACGGTTTGATTTCGAAATCGCGCTCTGTTGCGACCCTTTCCCGGGATAAATCGAGCTTTACGCGAACGACAAAATTATTCCTCATCGCGGAATGACTTCCAGCCCTCGCTCCGAATATTCCTGTCGTCCGTCGGCGCCATGCAAACCGGACGAAAATTTTAAAATTCTTCATGAGGTTTCCAAGAGAATGCCGTGGGTGGCGATGGCGGTCGCGGTCTTGGTGCTGGCGGTGGTTGTTGGAGTCGGGTTAGGGGCCAGCCGGTAACAAACGCAGGAAACTCGATCCATTGTTAAATTTCGAACAATGGCTCATTTTTTTTCTCTATTTTTCCTCTCCTTGAATTCCATGATTCAGTCAGAGCCACGTTGGCTCACTGGCTGTAGCAACACCTCTACCATGGGTCCGTCTGCATGTCCAAGCGTCCGTCAAAACGTGGACGATTTTTGTTCATT